GACCTTTAAGTTTAAGTTATGATGCTTCCCAAATATTCAATTATTACATATGTATAGGTTCTCAGCCATCCCGGACATGAACCTCCTCTAGCCCCAAAATAATAATTAAAAAAAGTTTAAAGCAACTTAAATTATAATTTAAATAACACATGACTTGTATTGAGAATCACTACAATAAATCAATATTTATGAGGAATTTTATTAAGTGGAGTTACTTATTAAATAAAACTTGTTTTTACTCAGAGGCTTAAGTTTTTATAAAGATGTAGCAGAGATTAGATCTGTAACTCTGAACCACACATATCTAAGCAACATTTGAATCTTAGTTTGACTTCTATGGGTCTCAGCAGGTTGTTTAGTTTTGGTGCTGCAGCTTGAACACACACAAAAAAAATTAAAGCACATTTTACGTTACATTCTACTATAACTTTGCCGACCCCCCAAAATTGCTGTTAAAAAAATATGATCCCCCCCAATAATGAGATGGTATTTATGCCCTTGATTGTGAGCAAGATCTTTCCTGTCAGTATGAAATTCTGGGAAAGAATCAGGGACCAAATATGAAGCATAAAAAAAAATGTTTTATCCTGACAATCACTTTATCACTGTAAAAAATCTGTCTTTTGTGCAATAGAGAAATGCATATTTGACTGGATGCTCTACAGCAGCAATAATTGTTCATTTAAACTGCTCTGTTTAAAGGGGACAAACTAACTGAGCGACTTTTTCTTTCTCCTCAGAGTGGAACTTACCGCATGGTGTCGGAGGAGGAGCAGGCGCTCAGGGCCAAGCTGGAGCATCTCACCATCAAGGACCACGGCCCCGTGTTTGGACCCTGCGCCAACCTGCCAGACCACACCAGGCAGAAGGTATCCACATCTGCACTGTTGCCTCAATCCTCGTTCAACTCAGTAGCTGGACCATGTTTTTACTTAATCACTAAACGCAAAATGTTCCCAAGCAGGGTTTCTGCAGGTTTCACCAACTCAAATTTAAGACTTTTTAAGGCCTCTATGAATTAAATTTAAGACCTGCAACACCACAGAAAACAAAATAAATAATACATGGCAGAGGTTGGCAATAGAATGAGCCAGTGGTTAAGACGAACATTGTCCAGTCAGCAGATTGTAAATTTGCACTTACCAATAATTGGCTTAAAAACACTAGCTAGCTTTAGCAGCTAGCTACCAGTACCTGCAGCCATCTTGAGTCACAGAACAAAGTGAAAATGTCAAAGTTTTACATCGCAGTAAGGTCCTACAAAAAGATAACTATGTAGAATATACAAGTCCTGCCAAATCAAAATTTAAGACCAATTTATTTTAAACCCAATGAATTGAAGACATTTTAAGGCCTTAATTTTAGTTACGTAAATGTAAGACTTTTTAAGGACGCACAGACATCCTAAGTGTAATTTCCAAGTCCAAGTTCAAGTCCAATCAAACCCATTTATTATAATTTCATCTTATACCTAAAAAACAAACAACAAAACAACATAGCGCTTCTTCCAGATCAAGATGCTCCAATAACTTTTACAGCTCTGAACTTTTTCAGGGCCCTTTGGTCTGCTGGATTACAGCTGCAGTATAACAGTGGTTATTAAAAAACACAACAAACAAACCAAGTCACTTCTGACGTGTTTAAACTCATCTCTGTGAACTGTTAGCTAAATGTCAGGTTTGGCTCCCCCTTCAGGCCAAAGATGAGCTGAACGAGACGGATGAGAAGCGCGTGTCGGCAGCGAAGGAGCTTCGAGCCATCATTAAGGAGAAGGCGGAGGCCGGAGATGACCTGGCTAAGGGGGTGCAGGACACCTTTGGGGAGAAACCAGACAGTCTGCTGGTCCGCTTTATCCGCGCCAGGAAGTACGACGTACCCAGAGCCTTTGACCTCATGAAGGGTGAGTCAAAGCAACAAGCAAAACGTAAAAATATTTCATGCATAAAAACTCGGATTGTAAACTCTAAGGTCATATGTTTTTGTTTTGTTTACTTTTTTTTTTCTTTTTTTCACATTTCCTGTTAGCCACTTCAATTTGAAGATTCTGGCCTTTTTTCAACATGGCCGCCATTTTTGAGCGCTTTAAATCAGTTATTGCCGTAAAATGTTCCCCCTTTTCATGACTTGGATGAACTTTATGTCACATTGTATGTTTTATAGTCATCCTATTCGTACAACTTTTAATAAAATGTAGCAAAATCAGATGTCAAAACTGTCCCCAGTTAGGTTGTTGTTGGTGAAATATCTAATTTTCTGCTGCACTGTACTAATTACTTTCGCCTAAATATAAGTGCATTTTTAATCACATGAAATAAATCCATTTCATACTCCAAACATAAATTGACACAGGCACTTTCTAGTTCATTTTCAAAGATAAAACCCAGCAGGGCCTGACTGACCCCTCCCCTTGGCTTTCCGTCCAGGATATGTCCGCTTCAGGAAGGATTACCCCGAGCTGTTTGAGAACCTGACCCCGGAGGCAGTGCGCAGCACCATCGAAGCCGGCTACCCCGGCATCCTCCACAGCAGAGACAAATACGGACGCGTGGTTCTGCTCTTCAACATCGAGAACTGGGACTACGAGGAGATCACCTTTGACGAGGTGGAACTCTGAAAGGACAAGTCAGGAGAAGCGTAACTCAGGGATTTTGAAGATTTCGCCAGCTCAAACTTAAGGCTTTTTAAGACTATCATGAGTTAAATTTAAGACCTGTACCGCAACATCAATGTACACTGTAAAACCGCACATTTTATATAGTAGTGCCAAGATGAATGACAACGAATGTTTGTGTCTATCTCTTACCCTTGACAGATGCAGAAAAGCTAGCTAGCAAGGGCATATTAGCAGCTAGTTAGCGGTAGCTTCAAACGTATTCAAAAGTTTGCCTGTCAGAACAGTCCAGTGAGAAAAACAATTAGAATAATCCTGCCACAACAAAATTTAAGACCTGTGATTGTGTTTAAGCTCACTTATGTTTTTCAGAAAGAATTTAAGACATTTTAAAGCCTTAACTTCAGATGCATTAATTTAAGAGTTTTTAAAGATGCATGGATACCATGGCGACTGGGAGCAGATATGATGAGGCTTTCATGGCAATCTCTTGTGCATTCAGATTCTGCGGGCCTACTGCGTGATCCTCGAGAAGCTGCTGGAGAACGAGGAGACTCAGATCAACGGCTTCTGCATCATTGAAAACTTCAAGGGCTTCACCATGCAGCAAGCGTCAGGCATCAAACCCACCGAGCTCAAGAAGATGGTGGACATGTTGCAGGTAGGGTTGTAGTCCAGCTTTCCTTTCGCCGAATGCTCAAAGGATCGGGTTGCCTCACCGTGTTCCTCTTGGCGTCCCACCAGGACTCCTTCCCAGCCCGTTTCAAGGCCGTGCACTTCATCCACCAGCCCTGGTACTTCACCACCACCTACAATGTGGTGAAACCCCTCATGAAGAGCAAGCTGCTAGAGAGAGTAAGTCACAAACATAACCTTCCAAAAACTCTCTGTGCCAATCTTTAATGGTTTCATGTCACAACCACAAAGATCAGTGTGTTTACTCTGGTACCCTTTGATAACAAATGTGTCTTACTGTTGATCCTACGGGTGCAACACTGCAAAAACACAAAATCTTACCAAGTGTTTTGGTCTATTTTCTAGTGCAAATATCTTAATAGACTGAAATAAGGCAAAACTAACTTAGAAGGAACTTTTCAACAAGATAGGAACTTGTTTTAAGTCAACGATTCCTTAATACTGAGGAAAATATATATTTTTACCATAGCAAGACATTTTTCTCATGTTAAAAGGAAACAGTCTCCCAGTGGAACTAGTACATTTTTCCTTATCAATATTATGAAATTATTTACTTAAAGCTAGCTCTTGTGTCCTGCTGACCTTTGCAGAGCTAGATAAAATCGGTTTGTCATGTAAATATTGGTTGATCTCCCAAAATTAAAGAAATGGAGGCCTATTTATCATCTGATCAATTTATCATCTGATCGATTTATCGTCTGATTGATTTATCGGTGCACCTCTAGTAGATACAGTTGAGAATATGGGGTTGAGTCTTGGAGAGTGATTTTCATAGATCCTCTCCATCCAATCTGGCTGAGCTCAAGCAAAAAGAATGCACATAAGAGTCAGTCTTGAGTCAAGTACAGACTCATTTTTAATCGGATTAAAAAATACACTGAAGTTTGTTGATGAAACCTTAAAAAGAAAAAAAAGCCCTCAGGGGGGTATAAATACGCTTCTAAATTATGTGCAAGCAGAAGTTTCCAAGAAGGGTTTCAGATTGATTAGAGGTGCTTAAATGCTATAAACAGCTGCCTCCAAACATCTTTTTTATCTACTATGTGACACTAATTTAACTATGTCAGTGGTTTCCTGCACAAATGTCCCTGACAGCCGCTCTGTTTGCTGTAGGTGTTCGTCCACGGAGACGAGCTGGAAAACTACTACAAGGAGTTTGACCCCGAAATTCTTCCGTCTGAGTTTGACGGAAAAGGTTCCAAGTACGACGGCAAGGCCACGGCGAACAAACTGTTCGACTAGTCATCGTAGAAACCTGTTGCCCAGCAGTCTGACAGCTGTAATGCAGTGAAAAAAAATGTAACAGAATAATCCAGCTGTGTGGATGTAGGAAGAGTAGCTATGAATGAAACATAGGAGAGCGTGTGAAAGGCTGAAGAAGAGTCTGTTTTCCAGATGTTCTGACAAAACCCAGTTCTACAGGAAGGGGGCAGTAACGAGCTGAAACCTTAGCTTTCTACAGTCTCTAACTCATGAGTTTTGAACAGAAATTACAAATGGCTTTGTAATTTAACAAGCCCTTTACCCAAAACAGATAGAAGTTTAAATTCACACAGAAACCTGATTGGAAAATGAATATTTCTTTTTACATTAAAAGAGAAAATGTTGTCCACTTCCCACTGATTTCCCACCACATCTTAGTAGCTGAAAAAGAAAATCCCATCAGGAATGATGTTTCAAACACCATCGTTACGACTGAATCGCCGTGGCAACGGAGTATATTTTAAACAGATTTCAGGAGTTTTAAAGTTGTTTTATGACATGTCTGTCATTTCTTTCTTTACATTCGCTTTCAGAATAAAAGCAAGTTTTCACCCGACACACCACCCTGTACACCAGCAACAATGTCAATAAATGTACAATAAACTGTATATAAATATAACTTTTGGTCATTTTATTAAGAATTGTTGAGAACAAATCATGAATGACGAGATCTATAAAGCAGAGGGTTGATTAAACCTTTTTGTTACAGACCTGTTGAGATTCATGTTTAACAAAGAAAAGAGACAAAAACGATTAATGATCAACAATAGAGGCATAAAAAACCAGAATCATCTACTGACTTTCAGTAACACCCACCTCTTCATTTGAACAGCATATAAAATATACAATTGCACAAAATAATAAACATTTCTTACAGAAACAACAGATTTCTTTTTGAAAGAGGGGTTCTGTGAGATCATAAGCAGTTAATATCTTACCTGTTGCTTAAAACTTTCCAAGCGTCTTTGGCATAAATACAGACTAGAAGGTTCTGGAGGCTGAAACGTCTTCAGACAAAAATGTCAAGGTGGTTATTTTGAAAAGCACTTTATGAACCTTAACTCTGTCTTCAGCTACATTTGGCAGAAGCTAATGATTGTTTAAATGGAAAACGGAAAGAGGGGATGGTGCCTCACTGACTACCCTCCTCAGGTCATGTGAGCTATTTCTAGACAGAAACTGTGAGAACGTTTTATTTGTTGGGATTTATATCTAACTGGAAGCTCTACATGTTTCGCTAGGTGTCTCAGTAGACTAATCTACCACAGGTAAGATATTAACTACTCATACCTCTTCAGCAGAAGTTTACTTCAAAAATGTAGGACTCTTATTTAATAGCATAGCGAACAATTGATTTAAAAAAAATTAATGAAAACTATTTCCAAATTCAAATCTCGCCTGTTTCCGACACAATAATGTTACTGTGAGAAATTATGCAACTTTATGCTTTTGTTTCAAGCATTTTTAGCTAATGAGGGGAATGCTAAGCTAACCAGATTAACAATAAACCTCCCAAACTATTTCAATCTTACAATTATCTCTAATCCGAAGCGCTCGCTAAGCCACAAGCTACTTGTAGCTTTTAATGGAGCTGAAAGAGACCAGAAAACAAAAACAAAGTAGTGGGTTGATGGTATCGTTTGGTAGGATTAAAGTGAAAACCACAGTTAAATAAATTAAGGTGTTCTTGGAATGGTATAAGCTGTGCAATGTCTGTGTTACTATGCAAAAAACATGTTGGTTTAAAGTGCTCATATAGTACAGTACAGTCAGGATGTTCTAATGATTGTACACAACAATTTAGGTTTAAAAGGTTTTTTTTTTTTTTTTTTTAAAGTGTTCTGAGCAGCTGATATGTTTAGTCATTTTAGGGAAATTAGGACATCTGAAAAAGGTGTAAACAATAAAACCAGTCCTGGTGGTTCTGATAGGAAACCCACAAGTTTTGCAACAGGAACGAACGTCGGTCTCGATCTCTACAGGACTTTTCCGCTTAAAACTAAACTGAATTTTATGCAGGCTTAAACACAAATATATTAGCATTCGTTAGTCGGTCTGATCAAGTGCTTTCATCGGCGTTAGTAACGAATAGTTAGCTGGCGCTCTGCAGAGTACGTAAACTGACCCAGCAGATCTGTAGGCTTCGGGTCAACCGTGCTCCTGGTCAAGTCTTTGCGTCACCTGCTGAGGTTTAGTTTTAGTCCTGATGGGAGGTTGAGTTTGAGTTTCTGCTCCTCTGGCAGGCCTGCTGCTTCTTCTCCCAGTGGCAGATGGCGTCGGTGTACTCCACTATGACCTTGTCCATCCAGGTGAGGGGATGTGGGAAAAGAACGGCCCCCTCAAAGAAGCCCATGTGGCCCCCGTGCTCAGTCAGGGCGAACATCACGTTGGGCATTTTGTCTAATGTACAAAAGAGAGAGAGGAAGGTCAAATCTCACATGCAGTTCTGGTAAGATGCTCACTTCCACTTATTATGGTCATGAATATCGGATTCATTTTGTGTCACAGAAGGGTTGATTGAAATAAAAAAAACAAAACATTTTCTAAAAAATATTTTCTGTGATCTGTAATTTCTTTTTTTAGAAAATAACTGTTC